CTGCTCCTATGATGCTGCTTGGCCTGCTGTGTTCATCCAGCCCTGCACCTTGTTGTCTCGGATTCTCCAGCATCTGCAGTTCCTACTATCTCTGATGAGAATTTCACTCTCAGCTTTTGTTAAGGCAGAAGACCAGGAGAACTAGATTCAAGAGAAATACGTCCTCCTGGGAGTCTCCTCCCATGATCAAGTTCTAAATTGAACAGTGTCAGGTACATGAATGGTATTTCATGCTCAGCAAAGCTCGTTTTGCGTGATTAGCAGCTCGATGCTGGACAGGTTAGCTTGAGAGAGGACGGACAGCCTGCTGTTGGCCATACTTTCTTGCCATTGTTTTTGGACGATTTTCTTAAGTCACAACTGATGAGATCATAAGACATAGGAGCAGAAATTAGGCCATTCAGCCTATCGAACCTGCTCCTCCATTCAATCATCGCTGATAAGTACTTTTTCAGTGGGTTTTGAGTTATAGATAGTTAAGATCTCAGAAGCAAACAGGAGTGCAGGGATCACTGCTACAGTAGAAATGATGTTAATCTCAGATTTGAGATCCTGCTTCTCAAATACTTTTTTTTTGGTTAGGGAAATACGAGAGGCTATTCTGAAAGAAGCTCTAGGAAGACTCTTAGAACTCCTGAATGCCATCAGGCAGAGTTACTGTGGCTTTGTGAAAAAGAAATCATGTTTGACTTATTTATTATATTTCAATATTAAAGTTTGTTTATTCTTTGAGGAAACAATGAGCAATATGGGTAATGAAGAGCCTGTAGACATGGTTTACTTGGATTTCCAAAAGACATTTGATAAGGTGCCACATGAAAGGTTACTATATCAGACAAATGGCCATGCTTTAAGAGGCTTAAATTAACATGAGTAGAGGATTGGTTAGTGTAGGTAGAAATGGCTCATTTTCAGATTGGAAAGATGTAAACAGAGGAGTTCCACAGGGATTGATGCTGACGCCTTAACTACTTACAATTTATATCAATGGCTTGGAAGAAGGCATATTGCTAAATTTGCTGATGATGTAAAGTAGGGTAGGAAAGTAAGTTATGAAGGTGATATATGGAGTCTGCAAAGGGATAGAGATAGGTTAAGTCAGGAGCAAAAATTTAACCGATTGAGTAATAATATCGGAAATTGTGAGGTTTCCCACTTTGGCAAGAAGGAAAAAACATATACAATGTAAAGGAGAGAGTGTAGAACTTTGTGGTGCAGAGGGGCCTGAGGGAATTGGTTTAGTGAATCACATTATGTCAGTATAGTATTGCAAGTAATGAGAAAGTCAAATAAAATGTTGCTGTTTATTACTAGGTGAAAAGAATTTAAAAATTAGGGAAGTTTACCATAGTTGTGCAAGGTATTGGTGACACCATGTCTGGAGTACTGCATAAAGTTTTGGTCTTCTTATTTAAGAAATGATATAAATAAAAATTATATAAATTATTTGGATGTGAATATAGGAGATATGGTTAGTAAGTTTGCAGATGACACCAAAATTGGTGGTGCAGTGGACAGTGAAGAAGATTGTCTGAGAGTACAACAGACTTTGATCAGATGGACCAATGGGCTGAGGAGTCATAGATGGAGTTTAATCTAGATAAATGTGAGGTGTTGCATTTTGGTAAGGCCAACTAGTGCAGAAATTATACAGTTAATGGCAGGGCACTGGGGAGTGTTGCTGAACAGAGAAACTTAGGGCTGCAGGTACATAGTTCCTTGAAAGCGGAGTTGCAGGTAGACAGGGTGAAGGAGACATTTGGCACACTTGCCTTCATAGGTCAGAACATTGAATATACGATTTGAGAGGTCATGTTGTGCCTGTATAGGACATTGGTTAGTTCACTTTTAGAATACTGCGTACAATTCTGGTCACCCTTCTATAGGAAGGATGTTGTTAAGCTTGGGAGAGTGCAGAAAAGATTTACAAGGATTTGCCAGGACTGGAGGGTTTGAGTTATAGGGAGAGGCTGAATAGGCTGGGGCTTTTTCTCCATGCAGCGTTAGAGGCTGAGCGGTGACCTTACAGAGGTTTATAAAATCATGAGGGGCATGGATAGGGTGAAGAGCCAAGGTCTTTTTCTTGCAGGAGGGGGAGTCCAAAACCAGAGGGCATAGGTTTATGGTGAAAGGGGAAAGATTTAAAAAGGACCTAAGGGACAACCTTTTCACATAGAAGTTGGTGCATGTATGGAACAAATTGCCAGAGAAAGTGGTGGAGGCAGGCATTATTACGACATTTAATAGACATCTGGATGGGTATATGAATAGGAACGGTGTAGAAGGATATGGGCAAATTCTGGCAAATGGGACTAGTTCAAATTGGGATGTCTGGTTGGTATGGATGAGTTGGACCAAAGGGTCTGTTTCCGTCCTATATAATTCTATGATATAATTGCAATAGAAGCAGTTCAGGGAATGTTCATTTGACTGATTCCTAGGATGAAGGGGTTGTCCTATGAGGAAAAGGTTGGACAGGTTGGGCCTGTATCCATCGGAGTTTAGAAAATTGAGAGATGATCTGATTGAAAGTCAAGATTTTGATGGAATTTGATCAGGTAGATGCTGAGAAGTTGTTTCCCCACAGCAATAGACCAAAACTCGGGGCCCAGTTTAAAAATAAGGAATCTCGCAATTATGTTAGCAATGAGGAGAAATGTTTTCTCTCTTTGCTTCATCAAAGACTTTTCTCCATCAATAAGGTCAGAAATGAGTATGTTTGCTAATGATTGCACACTGTTGAGTACAAATTGTAATCCTCAGATAAAGCATATTTTTTTCAGCAAATAAAATGTTGCTGTTTATTTTATGTTGATTGAAATATGGAAATCACATAAATCACAATAAAAGCCTACAACATGGTGAAGCCACCAAACAGGATGCTTGCACACCAAACAGCGAAAGCAGCAAATGATGCACAGAGCTAAGTGATCCCGCAACCAACAGATCAGATCTACGCTCTGCAGTCCTGTCACATCCGGTTGTGTATGGTGGTGGACAATTAAATAACTCACTGGAGGAGGCGGCTCCACAAGTATCCCCATCCTCAATGATGGAAGAGCCCAGCACATCAGTGCAAAAGATAAGGCTGAAGCATTCCCAGCATTATAGATACCAGTCTTCAGCCAATTTGATTCACTCCACATGATATCAAGAAATGGTTAGAGACACTGGATACTGCAAAGGCTATGGGCCCTGACAACATTCCAGCAATAGTACTGAAGACTTGTGCTCCAGAACTTGCTGCTCCCCTAACCAAGCTGTTACAACACTGGTATCTACCTGGCAATGTGGAAAATTGCCCAAGTATGTCCTGTACTCAAAAAGCAGGATAAATCCAACCCGGCCAATTACCGCCCCATCAGTCTCCTCTCGATCATCTGTAAAGTGATGGAAGGTGTCATCAACAGTGCTATCAAGCAGCACCAGTTCAGCAATAACCTGCTCAGTGATGCCCAGTTTGGACTCTGCCAGGATCACTCAGCTCCTGACCTCATTACAGCCTTGGTTTAAATATAGACAAAAGAGCTGAATTCCACAGATGAGGTGACAGTGACCCTTGATTTCAAGGCTGCATTTGATCGAGTGTGGCATCAAGGAGCCCTACCAAAACTGGAATCAATGGGTATCAGGGGGCAAGCTGGTTGGAGTCATACCTGACACATAGGAAGATGGTCGTGGTTGTTGGAGGGCAATCATCTCAGCTCCAGGACATCTCTGCAGGAGTTCCTCAGGGTAGTGCCCTCGGCCCAACCATCTTCAGCTGCTTCATCAATGACCTTCTCTTCATCATCAGATCAGAAGTGGGGATGTTCGTCCATGACTGCACAATGTTCAGCACCATTTGTGACTTCTCAAATACTGAAGCAGTCTGTGTTCAAATGCAACAAGATCTGAACAATATCCAGGCTTGGGCTGACAAGTGGCAAGTGCCACTCGTGCCACACAAATGCCAGGCTATGACCATCACCAATAAGAGACAATCTAATCACCATCCCTTGACAATCAATGGTATTACCATCACTGAATCTGCCACTATCAACATCCTGGGGGTTATCATTGACCAGAAACTCAACTGGACTCACCACATAAACACAGTGGCTACAAGAGCAGGCCAGAAGCTAGGAATACTGCGGTGACTAACTCACCTCCTGACTCCTCAAAGCCTGTCCGCCATCAATAAGGCACAAGCCACGAGCATGACGGAATACTCCCCACTTGCCTGGATGAGTGCAGACTCAACAACACTCAAGAAGCTTGACACCATCCAGGACAAAGAAACCACTACATCCACAAACATCCACTCCCTACAATGCCGATGCTCAGTAGCAGCAGTGTGTACTATCTACAAGATGCACTGCAGAAATTCACCAAAGATCCTCAGACAGCACCTTCCAAACCCACGACCACTTCCATTTAGGAGGACAAAGGCAGCAGACATAAGGGAACACCACCACCTCCAAGTTCCCCTCCAAGCCACTTGCCATTCTGATTTGGAAATATATCATCATTCCTTCACTGTCGCTGGGTCAAAATTCTGGAATTCTCTCCCTAACAGCACTGTGGATCAACCCACAGCAGGAGGACTGCAGAGGTTCAAGAAGGCAGCTCACCACCACCTTCTCAAGGGCAGTTAGGGATGGGCAATAAATGCTGACCAGCCAGTGACGTCCATATCTCACAAACGAATAGAAAAAAAAACAAAACTTGGATAATACTCAGGCTTCAGGTCATAACTGGCAGGTAACATTTACACCATAAACACTAAGGATTGACCATTCCCAACAAGCAGGAATCTAATCATTTCCCCATGATATGAAGCCAACACTACCATCACTGAATCTTCCATCATCAATGTCCCGGGGGTTATCACTCATTAGAAACCGAACGGAAACAGCTATATAAACACTACAGTTACTACGGCAGGTCAGCTGCTGGAAATTCTGCAGCAAGTAACACACTTTTTGACTCCCCAGCTAGACAGTGAGACAATTTGGAGACAGTCATGACGGTCACAATCGCTGGTAGCTGATTCTTTGGAGGAGTATTGAAAGAGCAAAGCTGAAACAGGAAGCTTCAGTTGGCTGAGAAGAGGCCAGTGAATTCTCCATGTTCTCAGAATGTGGTTGATTGGGAAATTACATTCATCGCTATGCTGGTAGGCAGGTAAAGGTTAATATTTAACAAACTAATGCATAATTTCGAACACAAATACATTCCCAGTATTGCGCATGGACATATCAAGAACAGTATTCAAACTGCGGCAACAAAATAAAGGAAGAATTCTATAAGGGCGACTGAAAAATGTTAAGTCTGATGATTAAGACCATTTTAGATTCTGCAACCTAAACGCTAGGAATCCTAAAACTCCAATCTGTAAACTTACAACTCAGCCCATTCCCGCCCTCCTTCCCCACAACCCTCCTTCAACCTATCCCTAACTCAGGTCTTGGCACTAAGTGCCTGTCTAACACAAAACACTCTCTTTCACTAATTAGAAAATGCTGAGTGACTGCAGCAACAAGGACACTGAATATGATATCATGAGAACTGAAATGGTGAAGTCTGGTTCGGAAATACACAGAACGTGAAACTTAGGCTGTCCCTAAGATGTTCCCCATTATTCTTTGGTTGCAATGTTACCTTCATCTCTGCACCTTGGCCAAAGATCTTGACACTCTGTTGGGTGAGTCCATTGATTTCAAAGGTGACAACTTCTTGATATTCAATAGGTTCCCTTGGATAGAAAATGATGACAGCTTCCACTGATTTCTTTGGCGCCAGGGCACAAGGTTGGAATTTTACCTCCAGATATGAATTGTTAGGGAACAAGCAATCCAGGCTTGCAGTAAAAAGCAAAAAATGGTTACAAACAGGATACTGACAATTGATAAGTAAAACACCATCATATTTCAGGCATTAATATAGCACCTAGTTACAGGAAATTCTGTCAAAGTCAATTTCTTTACTGATCTTTGTGGTTCTGTAGGGAAAAGCAAAAGGGCAGGTTATTATCTGATTAGAGCTTTCCATCGCTGGCATAGGCACGATGGGCAGAATGAACTCCTGATGTGCCGATTATTTTACCATGCTATCGACTTGCAAATGGACTCAAGAATTGAACCTGTTCACAACCCGGGGAACTTCCTACGATTTATTTAAATCAATAGATAACCAAAAATATAATTTTGTTGATCATATTAATATGGGTGGGTGATTAAGTAATGCAGATTGGAGCAGAAAGCTACAAAGGATATTGATAGATTTCACAGGTGAGCAAAACTGGCAGATGGAGTTCAACTTGTGGAAGTTAGGCACAAAAATAACCAAAATGATAAACGATGTATTAAATCAAGAGGATTACAATGCAATGGTATGGACGTTATTGCCATATCTACATAAAGCTCTAGTTAGACTGCATCTGGAGTAAAATGTTCAATTTATTTTAGGAGGGATAGATTGCCCTTGAAAGGGATTGCAACACAGATTCACCAGAATGATTCAGGAGCATAGGAATAATGGGGACAGTTGAATCTACTAGGGTTGTATTCCCTTGAGTATTAAAGGTTAAGAGCTGATTTAAACTAAGTATATAAATACATTAAAGAATTTGATGGGCTAGATAGAAAGTCAGAGAGTCATATAGCACAGGAGAAGCTCTTCTGCCCATCAAGTCTGTGCTGACCTATCTACACTAAACCCACTTTCCAGCACCTGGCTCATAGCCTTGAATGATATGACCATGTACTTCTTCCATCTCTTCTACCCTCCAGGCAGTTCATTCCAGACACCCTACCACACTCTGGTGAAAAAATCTTTCCTCAAATCCTCTCTGCACCTCCTGCCCTTTACTTTAAGTTATGCCCCCTTGTTATTGACCCTTCAACTAAGGAGAACAGCTTCTTCCCATCCACCCTGTCCATGCCCCTCAAAATCTAATACACTTTTATCAGGTATCACCTTTTCTGCTCCAAAGAAAACAACCCAAGCTTATCCAGCCTCTTCATTGCTAGGTCCAACCAGGCACCATCTTGGTGAATCTCCTTTGCACGCTCACCAGTGAAACTGCATCCTTCTTATAGTGCCGTGACCAGAACTGCACATAGTACTTCAGCCAAGCAATAACTAAAGTTTGATACAGTTCCAATGTAACCTCCCTACTCTTGGAATCTACACCATGACTGATAAAGGCAAGTAATCTGTATGCCTTCTTAACCATCCTATTAACCTGTCCTGCCACCTTCGAGGATCTGTGGACAAGCACCCCAAGATCCCTCTGGAACCCTGAGCTTCCTAATGTCCTGCCATTTATTGAGTACTCCCTTGTTTTATCATTTCTTCCAAAGGGTATCACCTCACACTTTTCAGGGTTAAATTCCATCTGCTACTGAACTGCCCATTTGACCAACTTGTCTGTATCTTCCTGTAATCTAAGGACTTCTTCCTCACTATTCACCACCTGGCTAATCATCAGCAAGCTTATTCATCCCGTATTCTGATGAGAATTGTGTTAGAATATAGAACATAGAACAGTACAGGACAGGAACAGGACCTTCGGCTCATGATGTTGTGTTGTACGTGATGCCGAATTCAACTAATCCCTTCTGCCTGCCCTTGGTCCATATCCCTCCATACCTTGCATATTCATGTGCTTATCTGAAAGTCTCTTAAACACCCCTATCATGTCTGCCTTCACCACCACCCCTGGCAGCAGGTTCCATGCTCCTACCACTCTCTGTGTAAAAAAAACTTGCCCCTCACATCTCCTTTGAATTTTCTCTCTCTAACCTTAAATGCATGCTGCTAGTTTTAGACATTTCACTCCGGGAAAAAGATTCTGACCATCAACCCTATCTATGCAGCTCATAATTTTATAGACTTCTATCAAGTCTCCTCTCAGTCTCCACCACTCCGGAGAAAACAACCTGAGTTTTTCGAGCCTCTCCTTACAGTTTATACCCTCTAATCCAGGCTGCATCCTGGTAAACCTTTTCTGCACCCTCTCCAAAGCTTCCACATCCTTCCTGTAATGTGGCGATCAGAACTGAACACAGTGTAGCCTAACTAAAGTCTCATAAAGCTGCAATCTGATATTCTGACTCTTTTACTCAATTTCCTGACTAATAAAGGCAAGCATTCCATATCCCTTCTTTACCACGCTATCTATATGCGTGGCCACTTTCAGGGAGCTATGGACTTGAACCCCAAGATCCCTCTGTACATCAATGCTGTCCAGGGTCCTGCCATTAAGTCTATACTTTTCTTTAACATTTAATCTTCAAAAGTGCACCACCTCACACTTACCCAGATTAAACTCCATCTGCAACTTCCCTTCCCATATCTGCAACTGATCTATATCCCACTGTATCCTTTGACAACCTTTTATCCTATCCACAACTCCACCGACCTTTGTATTGTCCACAAACTTACTAACGCACCTATTGACATTTTCATCCAAGTCATTTATATATGTCACAAACAGCAGAGGTCCCAGTATGGATCCCTGTGGAACACTAGTAGTCCTAGACCTCCAGCCTGAAAAACACCCTTCCGCCACTACCCTCTGTCTTCTATGAGCAAGCCAATTCTGAATCCACTCAACCAAGTCACCGTGGATCCCATGCATCTTAATCTTCTGGAATGACCCTACCATGAGGAACTTGTCGAAAGCCTTACTAAAATCCACGTAGACAACTTCCATTGCCCTACCCTCATCAATCACCTTTGTCACTTCCTCGAAAAATTCAATCAAATTAGTAAGACGTGACCTGCCCTGCACAAGGCCATGCTGACTGTCCCTAATTAGTCCATGCTTTTCCAGATGTGTGTAAATCCTATCCCTAAGAATTCTCTCCAGTAGCTTCCCAACTACTGATATGAGACTCACCACCCTAAAGTTTCCTGGATTATCCCTGTTTGCCTTGAACAGAGGAACAACATTAGCTACTCCCCTGTCCTCTGGGACCTCTCCAGTGGCTAGTGAGGATACAAAGATATTGGTCAAGACCCCAGCAATCTCCCCTGTTGCCTCTCTCAATAACCTGGGGTAGATACCATCAGGCCCTGAGGACTCATCCACATTAATGCTCTTCAGGAGATCCAACACCACTTCTTTCTTTATCTCAAAATGCCCTAGCATATTAGCATGTTCCACGCTAATTTCACTATCCTTGATATCCTCCTCCTCGGTGAATACTGATGCAAAGTGCTCATTTAGGATCTCACCCACATCCTCTGCCTCCAAGCACAAGTCCTCTCCTTTATCCTTGAGTGGTCCTACCTTGTCCCTAGTTATTCTCTTGTTTTTAATGTATGTATTGAATGCCTTGGGATTATTTTTAACCCTACTTGCCAAGGTCAGTTCACGGCCCCTTCTTGCTGCCTTAATTCTGTGCTAGAGTTCCTTCCTGCTTTCTTTATATTCTTCACAGGCCTTGTCTGATTTTAGCTTCCTAAACCTTATATATGCTTTCTTTTTCCTTTTGACTAAATCCATAACCTCCCTCATTATAACAAAGAACAGAGAACAATACAGCACAGGAACAGGCCCTTCTGCCCTCCATGCCTGCGCCGACACATTTTGCCCTTCCATACTAAAACTGTCTTCACTTACAGGATCCGTATCCCTCTATTCACTTCCTATTCATGTATTCATCCAGGTGCTTCTTGAATGCTGCTACTGTGTCTGCTTCCGCCACCTCCTCCAGCAACACGTTCCAGGCACTCACAACCCTTTGTGTGAAAAATTTGCCTCGCACATCTCCTTTAAACTTCACCCCTCATACCTTTAACCTTTGTCCCCTAGTAATTGACACCTCCACCCTGGGAAAAAGCCTCATACTTTTCACTCCATCCATGTCATTTGCAATCTTATAAACTTCTGTCAGGTCACCCCTCAATCTCAGTTGCATTCCAGTGAAAATAAACCCAGACTAGCCAATGTTTCTTCATAGCTAAAATCCCCTATACCAGGCAACATCCTGGTAATGTTTTTCTGAACCCTCTCCAAAGCATCCACATCTTTCTGGTGGTGTGGTGACCAGAACTGCACACTTTACGCAATATTCCAAGTGTGGCCTAACTAAAGTTCTATAAAGCTGCAGCATAACTTGTTTATCGTTATACTCAATGCTTCTTCCAATGAAGGCAAGCATGCCTTTTTTACTACCTTATCTACCTGTGCTGCCACCTTTAGAGATCTGTGGACCTATACATCCAGATCCCTCTGCAACTAGAGGGTTCTGCCATTCACTGCATAATTTCCACCTGTACTTGACCTTTCAAAATACATCACCTCACATTTATCCAGATTAAACTCCATCTGCCATTTTTCTGCCCATGCCTTCAACTGATCTATATCCTGCTGTACTCTGTGACAATCCTCCTCACTATCTGCAACTCCACCAATCTTTCTATCATCTGCAAACTTCCTAATTACACTAGCCATGTTTTCCTCCAAATCATTTATGTAGATCATGAACAGCAGAGGTTCCGGCACTGATCCCTGTGGAACACCACCAGTCCCAGTCCTCCATTCCCACTTGCATCCTTCCACTGCTACCCTCTATCTCCTATGATGAAGCCATCTTGCCAGCTCACCCTTGATACGATGTGACTTCATCTTTTGTACCAGTCTGCCATGAGGAGGTCCCTTACCTTGCCATCCTTGTCCTTCCTCCTCACTGGAACATGCAGGTCCTGAACTCTCATAGGCAGGTCTTTAAACAATTCCCACATGTCAAATGTGGATTTGCTTGATAACAGCTCCTCCCAATTAACACTCGCAAGCTCGTGCCAAATACTGACGTAACTTGCCCTCCCCCAATTTAGTACCTTGCTGCAGGGTCCTGACTTACCCTTATTCATAGCTATCTTAAAAGAGTTGTGATCACTGTTTCCAAATGCTCTCTCACTGAAAGGTCAGTCGCCTGGCCAGTCTCATTAGCCTGTACAAGGCCCCTCCTCTAGTTGGGCTATCCACATACTGTTTCAAGAAACCCTCTTTGATGCGCTTAACAAATTCTGCCCCGTCTAAGTCTCTTGCTGTAAGGGAGTCCCAGTCAATATTGGGGAAGTTAAAGTCACTCATTGTGATAACTCTTTGGAATCAGATGCTATGACACTAAAATTGGAATCTGGAGCATCCAAACAAAAGCTGTTCAGACCTTGAGACAGGTGAAGGGTGGGGAAAACAAACCAAAAATGTTTTGCTAATGTGAAAGACAGGAGAGAATAGATGAGAAATCGGTTGATGGGGCAAGGCCAAATGGACTGGTAATGGGACTGGTAAAGAAACAAAAGCTGTGGCGAGAGGAGGTGTGAATGGCAGGGCATGCTGCTCCTTGAAAATACTAAAAAAGAAAGAATAATCAAAAACTGGAAAATAAAAGGAAATAAAAGGGGCAGACATTATAATCTGAAATTGTTAAACTCAATGTTTAGTGTGGAAGGTTATAGAATTTGTAATTGAGAGTATTGAGCTTTCAGCTGATGGTGAGCTTCACACGAACGCTGCAAGAGGCTGAGGTCAGAGTAGAAAGGTAGAAAATTAAAATGATGGGCAACCATGAGCAGGGGATCTTTCTTGCAGACTGTACACAAAGTGGCCACAGGATTTCCCTTTGATCTATTTGATGTCAAGGAGACCACGTTGAGAACAATGAATACATTACAGTAAACAGAAAATTAATGTTTCATCTGGAAGAAGGCTTGGGCCAGGCATTTCATCTGCTGCATTTACAATAAAGGTGCTGTAAGAGAGGAGTGGTTCTTGATGGTGACTGAACTGTAGACTAGGCTGTACTGGATGCTATAGTCCCTTCAGAGTGCTGGATTGGCATCATGCTGGAGGTGACCAAAATGATCTGGAGCATGGTCGAGACAGACAGACAGACAGACGGACGATTGGTGGTGGTTTAATCCGAGGGTCACCATGTCTCAGGCAAGGAGAGAGGTTCAGAAGGAGAGTTCTTCATGGTAACTTCACCCAGTGTGGGAAGTGAACACACTCTGTTGGTGTTACAAACCAACCATCCAGCCAACTGAGTTAACTGACCCAAAATTACTCATTGTGAAAAAGTATTTTGTGCTTCAACAATTCCCTGCACAAAGAATATTCAGTATGGTATGCTTGGTGGGAGCTACCTGGGACAACGTGCAGTAACCAACCCAAGTCAAATACTGGTAAAGTAACAAAGTGAAACACGACTGTCAAAGGAATGAACACAAGCACGACTGCCTTACCCGATTGCTTGCTCCTGTTTATTAGTGATGATCAGAGTTTTTTTGGAAGGTGTCATGCCAGCATTATAGATGAAACATGGCCCAAAGTCATATTTGGTGAACGATAAGTGGGCACTTGGGATCACTATGTACCCAGTGAGAATACAGGCAAAAACAGGGCCTTTCTGGATCTGTGGGCAAGAACAGAGATTATGATTTGTGTGTACAAGTTAACTTTCAGTCAACTTGATGAACAGGTTGGTTATGTAGCCAGTCAGCTGGTCAATACAATGATAATTTTTTGCAACATAATTCATCCTGATCGTTTGACTCAGACTCTGTAATCCTGCACAGGCTTCCAACTCTACAAGAGTCCGTGATACATCTCTACGTTCATATTGGCACAATTCACTCATTCCTCCAGGGACTAAAAATTAATCTCCTAAACCTAATCCTATTGCAGGAGACTAAGTGCCAAGAGCATTCCAGGAGAAAAATCACAGAGGGTCTAAACAAAATTTAACTTTAAAACTGTTCTTTGAATTAGCTGTAAAAATATTTGAGAAAATAGACTTTCAAACAGAGTCGTGACACGTCCAACTGAGTAATAAAGCAACTGCCCCCTTCCCAAATAGTGCCAGGCAGGCTATGTATATGGACAGGGATCAATGTGGTAGCCTAGGGACAAGGTGGTCAGAGGCTGGAAACGATCTTTTTGGAAAACTGTCAGGAATGTGCGCAAACAGAATGGGTAACATTAGGTTACCGAATACACAGGGGAGCATGTTTCATCACATCTGGCTGCAGCCTTGTCAATACAGGTCCAGTTTACCCAATCTCTCTTCATAGGACAGTCCCACCATCCTGGAACAAGTCTGGTGATCCTTTGTTGCACTCTCTCTACGGGCAATAATACCTTTCCTGAGAGAACAAGACCGAAACTATGCTCCAGATGCAGAATTACCAAGTTCCTTTTATGTAGTTAATACAGAGCCACTGGGAGATCTTTTCATTTTGTCTTCAGCACAATGGAATGTATGGAAAATACTGAAAGTACTATGGAATGGTGATACTGCATGTAACCAGAACAGTATTAACATCAGTGACTGAGTCCCACTTGCTGGACTTTGTCCCACATTTTGGATTTTCACCATTGGACTGGGGTTTGTGAGACTGGGGCCACGGAATCTGAGATAGAGCTTTAAGTGCTGGCCGTCTAAAGTCCCTGACGTAAGACAAGGCAGTGAGACTCATTAGTTCACATATGTACAAAGTAGTTTAAGATAATAAATTTGCTCATTAAGAGATGCTGCTTGGCCTGCTGTGTTCATCCAGCTCTGCACCTTTTTGTCTCGGATTCTCCAGCATCTGCAGTTCCTACTATCTCTGATACAAATTTGCTCATTAGTTTGTATATATATTAAGTAATTAAGCTAACAAATTTACTATACAATAAAGAACACTTGTCTTCTTGTATCCATTTTGATCAAGCCTTTACTAGCCCATTAGCTACTTTCAACCTAACAATACACAGGTCACAGCCTGCCAACATAAGATTTATTCCAAATCCCTGCTTTACTCTTTTAAACCAGGATCTTGTGAGGACCTTCTGAAAATCTAAGTATACAACGTTCACCAGTTCTCCCTTATCAATTTTATTAGTAACATCTTCAAAATACTCCAGCAAATTTGTCAAACACAATTTCCCATTCACAAATCCGTTTTGATCATTATCAACCAGTTGTCTATTTATCCCATCCTTTATAATTGATTCTAGTATTTTCTCTACCTCTAGTGTAAGGCTAGCAGGTCTGTAGTTCCCTGTTTTCTCTTCTGCTCCATCCTTATAGAGAGGGGTGTCATTTGCTACTTTCCAATTTACAGGAATCATTCCAGATTCTATAGAATTCCGGAAGATAATCCCAACGCACTGACCCTCTCTATAGTCACTTCCTTCAACTCTCTGGAATGAAGACATCAGGTCCTGGGGATTTCACAAATTTCAGCCCCATTAATTTCTCCAAAACCAACTTCTCACTCTCACTATTCTGCTTCAATTTTGCTTTCTCCTCAGCCACTTGGATCTTTCCCTCTGAGAATTTCTTCATAAATTGATAAAGCATTTTGGGCTTTCCTTGATTTTAATTACCAATATACCCTCTTTAGGAATTATCTTGTTAATTTTACTCAGCATTTTCTATATTCTTCTAAGCTCTCTGAAGCCTTGAGCTCATTGTATTGGTCATATGCTTTCTTTTGTTTTCTTGCCTTACGCTATTGTGAGTGCTCTTCAAACTCTGATTTTCAGGGTCTAGACTTGAGAATCCCACCTTTTGTCCTTTCTGATAAAATACTTATTTTAAAATCTCTCTCTCTGTATATATATCTCTCTCCTCCTTGTATACCTCCCACCCACTGCTCTGACACTGATGTATATTCAGCTGTTCCCAGCCAGTACAGACACGCATTAGACACACGTTAATATAAATGCTGAGCAGTGGGAGTGGCAGTCTGAGTGGGACTCTTGATGCTCACCTTCAGCTTTAGCTCTACGTCCTTTAGCGTGAACTTGTGGTCTGGGTGGAATCGGATTGATACTGTGACACTGCTTTCAGTTTCCACCCTGTTCCGCTTGCAGTTTAGTTTTAGACAATTCAGAATGCTGGGAGGGCCTGAAAGCTCCCAGTCAAAGTCGAAGTTAAATTTCCCGTTGTTTGAGATGACGAAGTGATAGTTAATATGATCATTCAGTTCCACCTGTGAGTAGATTAACAGCAACGTAAAAATCAAGCTGCCACCCCTCCAAATCAATCAAATACACTCCCATAGTCAGGAACCTGACCTGTTGTTAGCTGGAAAGACCTGTCATTATGGTAATGGTAAAGAGAGGGATGTACTGGGCAATGGTTAAGCTATTATTGCTCACGGTGCCAGAAGGATGCCCAATTTTGAACTGCTAGATTTGCTCTGAGTCTAGCCCGTGATAACGTTACTTATGATGGAGGTATAGTCAGCACAAGGACTATGCAGTAGTATCTTACTGACATTGTCACGGACAGATGCATCTGTGATTGGCAGATTGATGAGAACAAGGTCAAGTTGCGTTCCCTTGTGTTGATTTTCTAACAACCTGGCACAGGCCAAACTGACAGGGAGAGGCCATTTCTTCAGGTGGAGGAATCCAGAACAATGAGAAAATAGAAACAAGGCCAATCGGGGTGATGTATGGAAACACTGCTGCACAAAGAGGGTAGCAGAAATCTGGAACTCTTTCTCTCAAAAAGGGAAGAGATGAGAACCAATCATCTGTAAAATTTCCAGGACCATATTGTATCTGAGGCGTATCTTCTGTGTCTTGAGTGTGCTCCTTCCAGAATAGTGCGCACAGTACACACTTTTCCTGGTGTTGCTTCCCAAACCCCATGACTGATGTGACAGCTTTGAAATCACATTCCATCCTTACAGGCCCAGCAAAACAGCACTCTCTGTGACAGCTCTGACATAGGCCAAGCAGTACCGTCCTTCACTGTCCTCCTCATATTCCCCTGCTGTGATAGATTAGTCAACGAACAAGAGGGTATAGATTTAAAATGACATGCAAATGAAGCAAGGGTCATGTGAGAAAGATCTTTTTCACACAAGTATGGGAGGATAAAGGGCAATTCACTCAGCAGCTATCGCACAATGTTCCCAATAACTGATGTACAATTCCCAAGAATTTACATTTAGTTGGGTCAGAGGCTAGGAAACCTTTGGTGAGTAACTCACCTCCCGACTCTCCAAAGCCTGCCTGTCATCTACAAGGCATAAGTCAGGAGTGTGATGGAATACTACCCAGTTGCCTGGATGGGTGCAGCTCCAACAACACTCAAGAAGCTTGCCACCATCCAGGACAAAGAAGCCCACTTACTGGCACCACATCCACAAACATTCACTCCCTCCACCCCCAATAGGTGTCGACAATAAATGTGTACTTTCCTTGCCAATGAGAGCCACAGCCCAAAGATAATTTTCAAAAAGTCTTCATCTAACTATCTTCTCTCAAAGATTAGGGCCAACATGACTACGCACTGGCGAGCATTGAACACTGAACTAAAATCAGTATGAGAAAAGGAGTTGAGGGCCAAGGTTCGTGGTGCATCAACATGGGAGAGAAGACGAGATAATCAAGAAAGTAGTGGCACACAGCTTGAATTTTAAAAGCCAGCGGTATTGTACAACGAAGGATAGACTGAGGGAGTTGAATTTCACAATTGTATGTTCTAGGAATTCATGTGTCTTCAAAGCAGTGACGATGCTGCTATCAAGTGCCTGATCTGTAGGTCAGGAGAAATTAAAAGAAAATTTTGAGAAGGCTAGGATAAGAACAATAAAACACAGAAGGAAGGAGAGTAGAAAGGAAGTCTAAGTAAGAAAAATGAAGTTATTTGTGATACAGGCTGTAGCCCTCCTACAAAATATTATCTTATGACAGATATAAGAGATGTCTGATCAGACTGTCAGATCACAAAATTATTTATCATGTAGCTGGCATACAGCACTAACCTCTCCAAAGGAGATCTCATTGACAGTCTGATGACTGAGTTCAGTTACTGTCCCATCGCTACCTTCACATGTCACTGTTGCTTTCATGCTGTATCCATGCATTTTTATATTTAAGATCAAAGGTACTGTCTTTGTCTTCACATCACACACAATGTTCCAGTTCACATGTCCATCGGTGTTTGCAATACAGGAGAAGACAATGGGTACACTGTAGGTGAAGCAGATAAGTATCAGAAGAATGCTACATTATGGCATTGTCACATACAATGTACAGTTCACATTGAGATTACAGACCAGCCACAGTTCACTCTGTCAGTTTACAGACCAGGCTCAGTTCATTGTCTGGGTACAAACCAATTACAGTTCACCATGTGATGACCAGATATAGTTCATATTGGATTACAAACTGGGTACAGTTTCCTGCCAGTTACAAACCACATGCAGGCCATTCTGTCAGATAACTGCAATTTATAATTCAGCCTATCAGTTCCCACTTCACTGATGTTACTTTGCTACATTGTATGCAGTTTTGCTTTCAGGAAACTCCTGGCTTCCAGTTCCTGTTGGACACCTTCACCTTGGCCTTGTTTTGTTTCTATAATTCACTTGCCTTTCATCACTCATTTTATAAGCTGGTGGATTCAGGTACTGTGTGGGTGCTGCCTACAGTTGAGTCCAAGTGGCTTCATCAGGCAGAAAGATTAAAAATTTCAAACTGTACATTTGTAAAAGCTGTAATCTTTCCCAATACTGAGGGCAAACATTTCATCAAAATGCTATAAAATGCACCCATCTCGGTGCTGTGTACAGGTCCTAACTGTGTTCGGTGTTGCTGGGAATGGTTCAGCTGAGGCAATATATTATTTGGAGAAGGAAGCAAAGCACCAAAAGAGCAGTGAAATATATGACGGTGTAATTTAAATATTGGCATAGGAATAATTATTGACCAGAACATCAGATAGAAAGTCTATGCTCTCCATTGAATTAGCGCTTTAGGAGCAGCTCCAGTCTGACCAATAAATAAAATACTCTCTTATTACTGTACAGGGCTGTCAACCTAGGTTATGTGCTCAGGTTTCTTAGAGGTGGCAGTGCCATCACTGAGCCATTGGGGGGTCCTAGCTAAAACAACTCACGTCACGTACCACTCATGCAGACTCAACAAAATGAATGGGTGAGGGTGAGCAATTGAAGGTCAATTGGGGGAACTGGCTCAGCAACATTCATGGAAAATAGCAAGAAAATTCTCTTGGTCAAGGCTGAACAAATGACACTCAGTGCTATCCCAAACAACAAGGTATGATCCTAAAGAGGCCAAAAAACTTGAGCATTTCTAGTTTAGCCATAGACCAGCCATGTTCCGATAATTATACACAGACCTTCACAAGTAATGGGTAATGAGTATCATACACAATGACCTTCATGGGTAATGAATGTTCCACTACTGACAGCGTGAACATTGAAGCTCATTGAGCCACTAACTGGGGTTTGATTTCTGGCTGATTTTCTTACCTACTGTAAGGAAGAACAATGCCCTCTATGGGCTCCACAAAAAGTTTGCAAATGTATCCCTCAGAATGCAGTGTCTCCTTTCTGAAATGGAAGCTCAGTGGGCTTGCCTCATTGTTAATCATGTTGACAGTCTCCTGTGCTTTGTAGCCTGTGGGTAACACAAGGAACAGCATTGGTGCTGGCAGCTAGGGGCCAGTTCATACTTTTGTGATCCAGACAAGCATTGCGGAATTCAAGCTGATGTGTGAGGAGTTTTCTCGTCATTGAAAACAATGTACTAAATACTTTCAACACTTTGCATGTGGCACTGATGTTAATGTATACACCTGGTTGGTATTTATTTGTTAATCATTCCCACTTTCCTATATCTTTTGCTTTCAGTAGGTGACCTTTCAGGGTCTAGCCTTTGGCCCCCAGCTCCCCTCAGCTTGGAACAAACTGAGACCACTCGTTGTTGATTGACCATGTAAGGGCCTTAAGTGCAGCAGATGAGAATAACAGAGTTACAGGTGTGTTACAACACAGAAGGTGGCCATTCAGCCCATCGTGCCTGTGGCGGCTCTTCAAATGAGCATCACTTCCTAGTGCCAATCCCCTGTTTTTTTCCTATAATTTCGAACACTATTCCTATCTAAATGATTATCCAGTACCCTCTTCAATGCCTCATTTGGACCTGCCTCCATCGCATTTCCAGGCAGTTCATTTCAGACCCTAACTACTCTGAGTGTAAGAGTTTTTTCTCATATCACCGTTGCCTCTTTTGCAGATCACTTTAAATCTACACCCTTCTGTTCTTGTTCCTCTTATGAATAGGAACAGTTTCTCCCTATCTACACTATCCAGCTCACTCATGATTTTGAAAACCTCTGACAGAAAGCAGAGGGATGGGATAAATGAATCCTTCTCTGGATGGCAAACTGTAACTAGTGGGGTGCCACAGGGTTCATTCTCGACCTCCACTACTTATAAACCATACAAATGATCTGTGAGCAGGGAGAGAATATAACATAGCAAAATTTACAGTCGATAGTAAAATAAGTGGGAAAGCAGGCTGTGATGAGGAGATAAACAGTGTACAGATGGATATTGATTGGTTAGGAATTGGCCAGAGCTAACAGCTGGAGTTTAATGTGGATAAGTGCAAGGTTATCAGTTTTGGCCAGAAAAGTAAAAGGGCAAATTATTATTTCAATGGGAAGCAGATTCAAAGTATGTCAGTGCAGAGGGATCTAGGTGACCTTGTGCATTTTTTTATTCATTTGTGAGATGTGGGCATCATTGGCTGTGCCAGCATTTATTGCGGGTTCTTAGTTGCCCTTCACCAGGTGGTGGTGAGCTGCCTTCATGAACTGCTGCAGTCCACCTGCTGTGAGTTGACCCACAATACCATTACAGGGAGGGAATTCCAGCATTTTCACCCAGCAACAATGAACGAACAGTGATATATTTCCAAGTCAGAGTGGTGAATGGCTTGGAGGGGAACTTGAAGGTAGTGGTGTTCCTATGTGTCTGCTGTCCTTGTGAATGAATTACAAAAAGTGGGTATGTAGAACCACAGAATCCCTACAGTGTGGAAACAGGCCCTTTGGCCCAACAAGTCCACACCGACTCTCAGAGCATCCTACCCAGACCCATTCCCCAAACCCACCTAATCTACACATCCCTGAACACTACGGGCAACTTAGCATGGCCAAACCAGCTATCCTGCATATCTTTGGACTGTGGGAGGAAACCGAGGCACCCGAAGGAAACCCACGCAGACACGGGGAGAATGTCTGTGTGGAGTTTGCACAGTCACTCGAGGGTGGAATCGAACCCAGGTCCCTGGTGCTATGAAGCAGCAGTGCTAACCACTGAGCCACCATGCCGCCCCTCAGGGCAGCATATGGTAAGAAAGGCAAATGGAATCCTGGCATGTATTGCAAAAGGGCTGGATTATAAAAGTAAAAAAGTGTTGTTACAATAATAAAAGGTCTTGGTGAGACTACACCTGGAGTATTGTGCCCAGTTTTGGTCTTCTTACTTAAGGGAGAATGCAGTGGCACTAGAGGCAATTCAGGGGAGGTTCACCAGATTGATTCCAGGGGTGAAAGGGCTGTCATACGAGGAGCGGTTGATAACTTGGGCTTTTACTCGCTGGAGTTCAGAAGAATGAGGGGGGATCTGATTGTGATACATAAAATGCTAATGGGAATTGATAAGGTGGACATGGAATAGATGTTCCCCACTGTGGGATAATCTCAAACAAGAGGTGATAGGTATTGAGTGACAGGAGGTCGGTGCAAAACTGAGATGTGGAGAAACTACTAATCTCAGACAATTGTGAATCTATGGAACTCACTGAACCAGAGTGCAATGGAAGCAGCATCAATGTACAGATTCAAGAATGAAATAGATATGTTTCTGATGAAAGGCTAGATAAAGGTCTATGGGAGAAGTCAGGAAAGTGGAGTTGAAATCACATTAAGATCAGCCATGATCACGTTAAATAGCAGAGCGGGCCCGAAAGACTGAATTCCCTACTCCGGCTCCTAATTCCTGTGTTCCTATTTTATATTATCTTTCAGTATTCTTCTGACCGAAGTGTATCACCTCACACTTCATGACCATGTTCAACCACAGGCCTTCTAACTAACAACTTAATTCCGGAGGTGGTGGGGAGGGAACAGTTGTACTCTTGAGCCACTTACTCTTTCTGCCACCATGTGCATCACATCTAGGCAGAAGAAAATTCCACCAAATTAAGTCAAAAAATTCAAACACGTACCTAATAGCACATATTTGTAGTTGATGTGGGAGCGGTCAAGGGAGACCGCGGGCTCCCTTGTATTGCCGCATAACAGGAATGGCACGGTGATATTTTGTTCTGGAATGATGAAGCTCCAGAATGATTCAGTGATGTTCAGCTGCTGAGGCACAAACTGAAAGCTGACCTGAGGAGATGGGCAAGTGATTAATGCAAGATCCACAGTGATGTGATGGGTTGACATATACTATCTCTGCTGACATCGCTTTTAATGTGCAACATCAAAAACATCATGCTGCAGGCTTAGAGGATAAAAGTAGAAGCAGAAAGATGTTGAACATGACTTTGCATAGGATTTTAAAGTTAGGCAAGACATTTCCTTGCTGCTATTAGAACTACCATCATTATAGTTATTTACTGTATCCAATTCTTATTTCTGAGGCTTAACACATTTCTCCCACTCAGGAAGACTACAAATAAATCAGTTACTGTACAGTCCCTGATTACATACAAACCACTGCAGAGATTTTAATATTGTATTACAGATTAAAGTGCATCCTTACAAATTAGAAGTAGTTAGTAATTATCACAGTTAGACATTTTGTGGGTTTTCTTTAACTTGATCCTGGCTGTGATATGAGCTGATCTGGAGCCAATTTGTAGGCTAGGTTTACTAAACAACAAGTCTAGTATCGTTAGGTTTATTCAAAGACTCTTCCAAACAGTGGACGAGACAATGGGTTTCATAAATAAAAAAGTAGTACTCACGCTCCCTCTGGTGGCTCATTTAGTGACCATCTGATGTAATGTAGACGTCATCCACACTTCACATTTTTCCGCTATGTACTCCAATTGCTGGATCTGTGCCCACTGACTTAACCTATCTTTTTGTAGCCTACTTGTGTCCTCTTCTCAAATTACATTCCTACTTATCCTTGTAGAATCAGAAAATTTGGCAACCATACTTCTGTCTCCTTGCCCAAGTCATTTACATAAATTGTAAACAGTTGACATCCCATTCGATCTACAGTGACGCCTGCTGCATACCACCTGTTAGAGTTTGCAAACCTGAGAAGACTCATTGATGCCTAATTTCTGCTTTTTGTTAGCCAGTCAATCCTGAACTTTTATTTTCTGCACTAACTTTGATGTGACACTTCATTACATTTTTACCTTCTGAAAATCCAATCCACCAGTTCCCCTTTATCCATATTACTTCCTCAAAGAACTCCGATAGATTGCTTAAACGTGGTTTCTCTCTCCCAAATCCTTGAACTAACTATGTTGAACTTAACTTAAATGCCCCAGTATAGTCCTAATTTTTGATAATATCATCAAGCATTTTCCCTATGACAGATGTTAATGTGACAAATGGGCTGATTTAGCTAATCTTAAAAGTGGCTAAAAGATGCTACAATTGGCGTTAGTACTCCTGGATTGGATTTCTGCTCCTGATTGTCTGTTAGTGACCTCTCCTTAAAGGGATTCCTCCTGGAGCAGTCCTCCCTTTCTCATCTCAACTATTGCTTTCCCAATGTGATCCTGGATGGAGATAAGGTGGGACATCCTCAATTTTAGCCCAGCCTGGTATATTTTGGGACCTGGGGCTTTATTGGTCTCAGTGATCTAACGCTAGTGAAGGCACTACGCCATCAGGGGCAGCTCGGTTTAATTTCCAATCGATAAACTGGAAAATACTGAGAAGGATCAATTCTATTTTCATTGACCAGAATCATTTTTGTCTGTAACATGCTGAGTTTGACTGTCCACACCGTGAAACATCTGCTGCTGAAACACGCATCCAAACTTTAGTTACTGCTAGAAAATCTCCTATTCCCACCCTGTTCCTACCTACCTCCCATCTTCAGTAAACTTCCGTTCATCTCAAGCTCTGCTGCTCATATCCACATTTGCACCAAGTACTTTTCAATGAAAGTAGACAGGCATGTGCAGCAAGCAATTAGGAAGACAAATACTACATTGGTCTTCATTGCAAGAGGATTTGAGTCCAGAAATGGGGATGTTATACAGGGTCTTGGTGAGACCACACCTGGAGTACAGTGTACAATTCTGGGTGTCTCTACCTAAGAAAGTATATACATGCCATAGAGAGGGAATGCAGTGGAGATTCACTAGGCTGATACCAGGGATAGCAGGATTGCCCCATGAGGACAGAATGGTTTGACTGGGGCTGTATTCTTTGGAGAATATTTGAAGAATGGGTTGAGGGAAGCGATCTGATTGAAATGCATACAATTCTAAGAGGGACGAAGAGACAAGATGTTTCCCCTGGTTGAGGAGTCAAGAACTAGGGATAACAGATACAAGATGTAGGAGCAAATTACTATAGATGCTGGAATCTGAACTGAAAACAAAAAACTGCTGGAGATCACAGTGGGTCAGGCAACATCCATGGAGAGAAAGCAAGCTTTAGCTCTGATGAAGAGTCATCTAGGCTCGAAAAGATAGCTTGCTTCCTCTCCATGGATGCTGCCCGACCTACTGTGATTGCCAGCATTTTTTACTTTCAGTTCAATAACAGATACAGGGTAGGTCATGAAGAACTAAGATGAAGCAAACTTTCTTCACTCACTGAACCTGTGGAATTCTCTACCACAGAAGGCTGTGGAGGCCAAGTCAGTGAATAGATTCATGACAGAGATGGATACACTTTTAGATTTTAAAGGCAGTGGAGGGTGTGGAGAGAAAACAGGAACATGGCACTGAGATAGAGGATCAGCCATGACCATGTTGAATAGCAGAGCAGACCCAAAGGACCAAATGGCCTATTCCTGCTCCCGGTTTCTGTATTTTCTATGTTTAAATATCGCCCATGCTCTCACTGTCGTACAATGGCTTCCTGTCCAACAGTACCTTGAATTTAACATTCTTATCCGTGTGTTCAAATCCATCTATCACCGGACTTCATCCCTCCATGTCTCTAACCTCTTCCAGCAATAAAAGACAAGATATCTGTGTTCATCTAATTCTCATTTCTAATTTGTCTAGCACTTCCTCGCCTCTCATCTGTCCTAATATTTCCTTTTGTGGCTTGATGTTAAACATTTTCTGATTTCTGCATCTTAGAAGTACCTTATGATGCTCAACTACATTAAAGGTGCTATATAAACATGTGCACACACAGAATAATAGTCGTGTCTGAACTAACCTCAGTCTTCTTCCCTGCTGCTATATATCCTTTCTCTGTCAGGCAGAAGAATGCTGGCTGCACCCGTACATTCGGTGCACTTTCAGACACCCACTGGAAGGAGTAGTCAGTATTTGTTGGATTCATGATGTAAAAGGACCTAAGAAGAGTAAATAGGTATTTATTTCATTCTGAACAGCAATTAACATGGCCACTTTATCAACTGTTCATGTGATATACAGTATAATTCAGCACCAATATAATAATTAGCCCTGCTCCAGCCTGCTAATAAACATGAAGAAGTTGACGTTACCATTTAAACAGATGGCTAAAACATGACATTGGATGAAAACCATGAGTTAGGTATTGGTACTTCCTACTTACAAAATTATGAGAGGCATGGGCAGTTTTGTTTCCAGCACAGAAATGTCAATTACTTGATGCCATAGGTTTAAGGTAAAAAGAGATGTGAGAGACAGATTGTTTTACACAGAGGATGGTAAGTGTTTGGAATGCGCTGCCAGAGGTGGAGGAGGTGGATACAATAGCAATGTTTAAGAGGCATCTTGATAGAAATATGAATAGGCAGGGAATACAGGGATATGGACAGTGTAGAAGGAAAAGGAAAAAGTTTTTTAGTTTAGTAAGGCATCATGTGTCAACACAGTTTTGGTGGGCTGAAGGGCCGATTCGTGTTCTGTACTGTTATTTTTTTGATCTTTGTTACAACAGTGACTATGCCCTTTCAAAGTATTTCAGTGATTGTGCAGCATTTTCATTTGTCTGGTGTTTACGGAGACTGTTGTACAAAGACAAATCTTTCTTTCTCATCTTTCTAAATCAGAAATGCAGCAGTGTTAACATGGCAAATAGAAAAATATTGAGCTGAATTTTCAAGGAGTTGTGGAGACTCAGGAAGTTTTAACAATGGTGGGCGGTCCCACATTCAGGAGTCTCACTCTCGACTCCAACAGATCGCATTTTTGCCAGGATTGTGGGTGTGGCAGGGGGATTATTTAAATTCCAAACCTTTAAAATTAAGAAAACCTATATCAGTGAGAGGTGAATAAAAACTCAACCAGCCCTTTTAAAATTTTTAAAAGGTAAGTTTGCTTTGTGTAAATGAAAATTGAAAAATAAAATCTGTTCAAATTGTTACAATAACTCTTTATTGACAGGCGCTCTCATCATCTCACATTTTCCACAACGAACAATTATCCTGGGGGGAGGGGGTCATATGTTCAGTTTATGCAGCTGCTCAAAGAGGTTATTACAGATTAGCTGTTGTTGATATGAGGTTATGAGTACAAGCCTATTTGATTAGGCACTTTTAAATTTGTGAATTTTTTTCATTTATAATGAAGGCTGAAGGAAGTATTAGGCGATTATTTTATTTCATCACAACATACCTCCTGAAGTCTACCTATGTTAGATACTAGCAGCCTGGCATGGAGGCTCTAAGGGCAAAGAACAATGAGATGGGGCATAGGTAATCATGAATTGTTATTTAATTGACTTTTCTCCTATAAGATGTGAAAGCGGTGGATGGGAGACATAGGGATGCATTAAGTTGGCAAACAGAGTATCTGAATCTTTGAGTGATGAGTAATGGCATAGATTGACATTGGGTTGGTGTTGAGTTGGCTTGAGGTTTATTTGGGACTCTAAGGATATATGGGGATCAAGACCTGGTATAGGTTGGGTTGGTGTCAAAAGGAACCAGGTGTAGATAGGTTGGGGATATTCATTGGTGCTTTTTTGATCTGAAGGGTATGAGAGTGCATTGGAGTATGGCCATGAACTGGCATGAGTTGACTTTGGGCTGGATGGGGTTTGGCTTGGCATGGGTGGGGCTTGGTGAATCATTGGTGGGATTGGACAATCAATGGCTGGGTGGGCAACAAGAACTAACACTTGACTGGCACTTGACACCCTGTGAGTGCTTACAATCTGTATCCGGGTGTGGCAGGCCTGACTACATCTCCACTTGCCTTACATCTCCTCCAGTCCCCTCTGCAGCAGAAAGCAGATCTGACAGACACACTTTCCCAAAATGCCTGTGGCAAACCTGGAAATATTCCAACTCCCCCTACCAGCCTTGGGAGTGAAATTCTGACCTGTCATATCCGGTCAAAAGGAGATCCTAACTTGAGAAAGGTTGATGCTGTCACTGCATGAAAACTGTAATGAAAAGTGCCTAATTCCTCAGCACTTCTGATTTAATACTACATTCACCTACTTAAAAATTAAATATCAGCGAGGATTGCAAATATATGACAGAGAGATTTTTAGGCAATAATCAAGGTTCTAAAATAATTTATCACCCCAATCAGTTAATGTTGATATTTCAGATAAAAAGTCAACAAATACTGGAAATGTGAAATAAATATAAAAATGCTGGAGATATACAAAAATAAGTCTGATGGTCACAGCCTGTATCATAACACCTAGATTATTAAGATAACTCCCTTTTCCAGATACTTACCAGCCTAGTGTGCATTTTCAGCATTTTCCACTGGTTGTTCCCGAATTGTTTTTCGCCTGCTGAATGTATTTTTCATGCTGACAATTTAATCTATTTAGTGCTAATTATCTGGCACATTTTAAGGATCTGCGTGACAAGATAAACTGCTCCAGAGAATAAAGCTAGTGTTTGTTTTCAATTGAAGAGCAATTATTCCTTTCTGTGGTCATTTAAAATAGTGGATGAAATTTCCTGCTGGAAGTCCTTGACAGCCTTTCAAGTTGGTACATAATGCTGAGTCATGATGGTTTGAATTTGGTGTCAGCAACATTGTTGTCTGAGACCATTGCAACTTGGACAAGGTGGACAGATCCTGCCATAGAATAAGCCCTCCATGGGGCTGCAAGTATGAGCCTAGCTGTGAAAGATCAGTTTTCACTGCAACACAGGGACTCAGGAACTTGTTCACACTTACCTTTGGGCATGCATCAGCACAATTCCCTGTACTTGAACAGTTGAATGGTTAGGTCCAAAGTTCCCCAGACATTGACCTTTGGACCTCATGATAATGGAATCAGTAAAGGAGAATGAAGATGGTGGGATGGGTGAAAGGGTGAATGGGAGCCGAAGAAAGGCAGTTTATTTTCTATCATCAGTTGCTGTAACCCACTGCTTTCAACCAATAATGCAGATAATTAATAAATTGTGAACCAGTCATTCTGTGCCTTCTGCAAAGTCAGAGAAAAGTAACTGGAGATCGAGGAGCAACTGGACCTGACAAGCTCAAAGGAACATCTCAGCAACCCCTATGGACAGAGACCATTGAACTGTCTTCCCATTCTTTCTCTCATCCATACAACATTCTCAAGAGACTCAATGGGTAGATGTAGAGTTGTTCCTCACTGTGGGAGTCTAAGACCAAACAACATCATTTCAAAGTAAGGGGTTACACGTTTAAGACAGTGATGAGGAGAAATTTCTTGTCTCAGAGAGTAATGAATCTGTGAAATTCTTTACCGCAGAGGACTTTCAAGGTTGGGTCATTAAGTATATTCAAGGCTGAGATAAGACAGATTTTGAATCAGGCAGGGCTTGATTTACAGCATACTACCCAGTGAGTTGAGACAATATTGTTGGTCCAGTTTAGTTTCTGGTCAATGGTAAATTGCAGGATGTTGATAGTGGGAGTTTCACTGATAGTAATGTCATTAAAGGAAAATGGAGGAGGTTGGATTCTCACTTGTTGGAGATAGTCATTGCCTGGCACTTGTAGCACTTGTTACTTGCCACTTATAAGGCCAAGCCTGGATATTGTCCGAGTCTTGCTGCATTTGAATATGGACTGCTTCAGTATCTGAGGAGACATGCATGGTGCTGAACATTGTGCAAACAAAAGAGCTAGGAGTATGAGTAGGCCATATGGCCTCTCAAGCTTGCTCTAGCATTTGATAAAATCATGGCTGATCTTATTGTGGCCTCAATGCCATATTTTTGTCTCCCCTGAGGACAGCATGGTGGATCATTGTTTAGCACTGCTGCCTCATGGCGCCAGGGACAAGGATTTGAATCCAGCATCGGATGACTATCTGTGTGGAGTTTGCACATTCTCCCTGTGTCTGCATGGGTTTCCTCCAGGTGCTATGGTTTCCTCCCACTGTCCAAAGATGCAGGTTAGGTGGATTGGCTACGCTAAATTGTGGTATAGTGTCCAGGGATGTGCAGGTTAGGTGGGTTATCCATGGTAAATGCAGGGTTGCGGGGATAGGGTGGGGGGCTGGGTCTGGTGGAATGCTCTTCAGAAGGTCTGTGCAGACCCGATGGGCCGAATGTCCTATTTCCGCAATGTAGGGGTTCTAAGATTCTATAACCATTGGGTCCCTTGTTAACTACCTCTCTGAAGTATTCAATATACATACATGCCTCCACTGTTCTCTGGGGAAGGGGGCTCAAAAGACCCATGACCCGCTGAGAGAAAAGGGAGAACACTTAAGTTTTAAATTGTGTCTCGTAGTTCTAGTTCACTTCCGACTTTCTGATGATTGGAAGGTTATTAATAAAGATGCTTGAGCCTAGGACCGGTTCCAGGATTCTGTGAATGAAAAGCACCCTCTCAGAGGTATGTTGTTAGGGTTGGTGTGGTGGGGGGAGAGAGCCTCAGGTGACTTGCCTTCACAAATATTTTCTCCCTATATTTAGAAAACACCTGGCCTTCACAAAATAATCTTTAATTGAAACTGCTTCCAAGTAAAGTGTAGCATATCTGCCAATTTAAAATGAGAGTTACGATTGTATGCAAGATTTCTCTCACATTTGAAAAGCAAGATGGGGCATTCGGTGCTGCATTTGCTTTACTGGCAGGTGGCAGTGCAGCTTCACAATTATGTGCTTAATCTGGAACGGAATCAAAGAAGAGATTTGACAAGCAAGGGATCGTGTGATCGTAACTGATGAGGAAATCCATTCATCACTGTTTATCTCACCTACACAGACTGAGGCCTTATTCACCCTATTGTAATTCAGAATGGTTTTCCAAAAGAATCTCGGGTTCCTGCCTCCGTTTCCTTCTCAGATGCTCATATCAAATGCTTATTACTCCTCACATGAACATCATCCTAGAATCGACCTAAAATTTGTCCTCCCAATCCAAATGGAACTGGAAGCAGAATCCATGAAAACTTTTAAGAGAAAACTGAAAAAATACTGGGAAGACAAAAACAAAAAGTTTCTGGGGAAAGGGCAGCAGAATTGGATTGAGGAGTCTGCACTTTCCAGAGAATGGTGTGATGGTGTAGACAGCACGATGTTCATTGAAAGGGGCCCATTTCTACCGCTCGCATTTCTCGCAAAGAGGAAGAACTAACTACAGTTGCACTTTGTGTAGACACAAACAAGTCATGTACAGAAGGACAATAAGCTGTTCAACACTGAATGTAGTCTCACTGTCACAGAGTACTGCAATTTCCACACAGCAAGTTCCTGATTTCAAAAAACCTGAAGATCTGCTACCCCACCGAGCCCTAAGTCAGTCTTATACAGAGTAGATGCAGTGATTCTGCATCCGAGACAGGGACAGAGAGTCCTGGTTCAAGTCCTACCTCAAGATGTACATTGTTAGATACATTAGTAAGGCCTCTTTTAGAACACTGTGTCCAGTTCTGGTCAGCCAGTTATAGGAAGAATATTATTAAGTTGGAGAGGTTTCGAAAAGATTTACCAGGGTGTTGCTGGGTATGGAAGGTTTGAGTCATAAAAAAAGGCTGGATCGGCTGGGACTTTTTTCACTGGGGCGCAGGTGGTTGAGAGTTGGCCTTATAGAAGCTAATAAAATAATGAGGAGGATAGTTCAAGTTAATGGTAGTTGTCTTTTCCCTACAATGGGGGATTTCAAGATTAGGGAGCACATATTTAAGGTAAGAAAAAAGAGATTTAAAAAAGACATGGGGGCAAATATTTTACATAGAGAGTAGTTTGCATGTGGAATGAATGTCCTAAGGTAATGGTCAATGTAGGTACAATTACAACATTTAAAAGAAATTGGATAAGTACATGAATAGGAAAGGCTTGGAGGGATATGGTCCAGAAGCAGGCAGGTGGGGACTAGTTCAGTTCGGGATTATGTTCGGCATGGACTGGTTGAACCGAAGGGTCTGTTTCCTTACAACAGGTCCAAACAGGTCAATTACGGAAATAAATAAATCAGTCTTAAACTATCAGGAAAGACCGAACAGATTGGGGATCCTTTTCTACAAGTGACAAAGCTGACAAGTGTCCTAACAGAAGAAGAATTATGAAGGGAGTTGATGGGGTACACAAAGATAGTTTTACTGCTTGTGAGGAACCACAAATGACGGCGTACAAATATAAGAGAGTCAGTAATAAATCAAATTAAAAATTCAGGAGAAAACCTATCTGAAGGGCATGTGGACATGGAGCTACATGGAGTCCTCAATATAAATACAACAGATGCATTTAAGGGATAGTTAGATAATTGAGAGGGGGAAGGGAATAGAAAGATATACTAATAAAGGTAGTTGAAGCAGAATAGGAAGAGGATCTTGAGGAGAATAAACACCAATATAGACTTGTTGGGCTTAATGACCTGTCTGTGCTGTGAAATTCTGTGTAAGGCCCTTCTCATATACCTCTGAGATGGTTGTGTGCAGGAAACATGATCAGATACCAATGGCAGACGGCAGCCTTGAATTTCCTTAGCCCAGAGACAACAGGATATTATTTTAAATATATTTAAAACATATAAATCAGTTTTCACAGAATAATGCAATTTGATGCTACTCTGGCATACCTCCTATTGGTTGTGTTCACTCCCACAGCTTGGAATTCGATGACACGTGTATTAGGGTCAAGGGTCACCCCTGGAGGAGCTCCCCCAGGGCCACTTAACTCAGGGTTGCGCCTGTTTCCACTGATGTAATTGGAGTCTTCCAGCTCAAAATGGCAGAATGGGAGGAGACTGCGGCCCTTCACAGCTACCACTTGACCTTGCAACCCCTCCTTCAAATTTGGTATGCTGAGAGAATAAAAGGAACAGAAAAATTTAAAAATATGTGTAACTTTCCCCATTTTCCCATGTGGTTGAACATTTGGAAATTACCAAGGTCTGTCTAATTATTGTGGGTTTTAACACCCTCAAAGTTTCCTGTGAAATAAGATATGAATGGTCATGAAAATTAGGGTGTCTAGGGACAGGCAGGGATGCAAAAGTGAGTGAGTGAGATTATGTGCATGTATCTGTACTCTGCTCATATGTCTATGTGTGACTGCGCATCTAAATATGATTGCATGTATTTGTCTTGTTTGCATATCAGTCTCTGAATGCCAATGTATGTGTGTCTGTACGTGTCTACGTCTGCGTGACTGTTTTTCTGTGTGTCTGTTTGACTGTGTGTCTTCATATTCATGTATCATAGTGTGTATATATCTGTAAGTGACTGTGCATCTGTCTCTGTCAATGTATTATGTGTTTGTCAGCGCGTGTGCATTTCTATGTGTATGTTTATGTATGTGAGAATGTGTGTGTGTGTGTGTGTGTGTCTGTGTGTGTGTGTGTGTGTGTCTGTCTGTCTGTCTGTCTGCCTGTATGCCTGCATCTCTTTTTCAGACTGTGAGGGTCTGACAATATTAAATGTGGCTGGACACTACAAATGAGAAAAATGCACACAACATACAGTACAGATCAGAAGGTCCCAGTGATCTCATGATCCAAACATTGGCTAGAAACTTAACTGTACGCATACTGCATTCAACATATCTACTTGGACTTCAGCAAGGCTGTTGATACAAACCTGCAAGGGAGATTGATACTGAAGTCCCCACGGAATCCAAGAAAATTTGGCAAATTGGATACAGAATTGGCTGAGTGGTAGGAAGCAGAGAGTGATGGTCCGAAGGATGTTCTGGTGACTGGAACCCTGTATCCAGTGGGGTTCCGAAGGGATCAGTGTTGGGGCTCTTGCTGTTTGCCTTAAATTACAGGAGGATGTAGATGGGCTGGTCAGATGGGCTGATCAGCGGCAAATGGAATTCAATCAGATAAATGTGAAGTAATGCACTTAGGTAGGATAAAAAAAGAAGGCAAGGGAATATGTGATGAACAGTGGGACCGTGGGAAGCACTGAATATCAGCGGGATCTTGGTGTCTTTGTCCACGGGTCCTTTGAAGTATCAGGGCAGTTGAATAAAGTGGTTAAGAAGGTATATGGGTTACTTGCCTTTATTAGCTGAGGCACAGACTTTAAAAGCAGTCAGATGATGCTGAAACTGTATGAAATATTGGTTAGACCACAGCTTGAATACTGTGTTCAGTCCTGGAATCCACAGTATAGGAGGGACATGACAGCACTGAAGAGGATGCAAAGAAGATTTACCAGAATGTTGCCTAGGCTGGAGAATTTCGGTTATGAAGAGAGATTGGACAGACTGTGGTTGTTTTTTTTAAAGCAGAGGAGATTGAGAGGGGATGTGATTAAATTGTATAAAATTATGAGAGGATATATGAGGCATAGACAGCACGCACAGGAAGATACCTTTCTCCTTGGTGGATGGATCAGTGATGGGTTGGGGAGGCAGCAGAGATTTAAGGTAAAGGCAGAAGTTTTGAGGCGATATGAGGAAAATCTTTTTCACCCAGAGGGTGGTGACAATCTGGAACTCACTGCCTGTAAGGGTGGTAGAAACAGAAACTCCCATTACATTTAAGAGGTATTTAGATGTGCACTTGCAATGCCAAAGTAGATAAGGCTGTGGGCCAAATTCTAGAAAATGGGATTAGAATAAGAGTTAGGTGTTTGTTTTTGACTGGCACAGGCCAATGGGCCGAAGGACCCTTTCCAGTGCTGTAGATATGTACGACTCTATGTGATGAGGAGATTCCCCTGCGGTTGATTTGGCTCAATAGTGGCTGTCTCAATCGTGTGGGATGAACAATCATGTTGGGGAGAAATTAGAGGGCTGTAGTTATCTGTGGAACTGTTATCCTGGTGCTTTCAGAACAGATGGAAAGATAAATTGAACTGAGAAGACGTATATGAGGCAGACAGAGTGGGTGCTGAAAATCTCGCTGAATGTAATTATTCTGACACTTAACATCAGCAGGTGCACACTATTCAAGTAATCCTGCGATCCTCATTAAAGATTCCATTTAAATTTACAGCCCATCTTCTTGCCACAGGCTTTCAGGAAAAACTTAGCCACACGGAGATTTAAAACACATTAAAACAGCATCAATGAGGAGCTGCTATAAATAAACTGCAGTTTCTGAACCTCCTAATAATTAATTATGACTATGCAGGTCAAACTTCGCTCACTTTTATCACTGGAAGTAATTATCAAACTTTAAACTACATACCAGAAATTAATTATTAAGAAATGTGCTGAGGGATAACTTATTTAAAGCATTGACTTGGCTCACACTAGCTTCCAGTCATGGCAATGCAATGGTATGTAATTTCTCAAACCACTTAATCATGCCAGCTGTGGTTCCCATCACCAGGCAATTCTGATGGAAATTTTTTGATGCATTTTTTCTGGGAGAGTGAACTATTCTCTTCCTATATCTGTACTGGAAAAGTACTGACATCTGATAAGAATTTGGCATTTACAGAGGCATATGAATGGGATAAGAGAGCCTCCCCATTTATGATACAGGTCAGTTAACTTGACAGATTTTCACACTTAACAGAAGAACTCCACGCATTGCAATGGTTGTCACCATTAAAAATCAGCAACATGGGGTAGTGTATGGTAGATACAATGTTGGAATGCATCCCAACGTGATCTTACTTTTTTCATCCACAATTAGGGGAGCAATGTTGAAGTTCAGAGATCAAGCTTTGGCTAATAGCACCTGAAAAAGAAACGATGAGGTGGGTGCAGTTAATCATATTGCTCTACTAATGATCCCACTCTTGTCACCTTGGGTTACTTTCAACCATCCGTTTCCTTTTACCTGCAGATGAGTGATGCCTCAAACTCGCCAACCTCCAAGGGGATAAACTTGACTTTGAATTCCTGTGTTCCCATGGCCGCGATTGTCCCGCTGCATGGCTCCACTGTGAACGGAGGGTTGTCAATATCAATGGAATCTCTGGAGGAGATGCTTTCAGTGCCACTGTCATACCTGCTGACGGCCTGAGTGCCCTTGCTGGTCGAGGGTCCAGCTGGCACGCTTGCTGAAGCTGTATCTGCAAACACAGGAAGAGATAGTGTGGAAGAATCCCAATACTGCAAACCATTTCAACATCATGAATCATAAAATTCCACAATGCTGAGGAATTTGGTTTGATATTAATCTAATTTCATGTCACCAATCAAAGGGAGAAATACTTTTATACTGTCTCATCTCACAGCACTTGGAATATGATTAATTATTTTGAAGCACAGTAATTGTTGCGGAAACCATTTACACTTGGCAAGATCTCAAACAGCAAGACTATCAATTACCAATTAATTTTTTTTGCTTTTTTTGAGGGAGACTGTTAATAAACAGACTGGGAAAACTCTTTTTCCAATTGTGCTGTGGGACCTTCACTCATTCCACTGGACTATGGGAAATGTGGCTTGGTTTAATTCTAAATTAAGAGACATGCTGATAACTTACTCTTTTTTTCAGCTGTGTTAGTGTCTTTATATTTTAATATTAATAATGAATCCAAAAACCTGTCAGACAGCTTACAAAGCCAACAGAACAGTAGAGATCACACAAAACTTGGAAAAATGATAACAGGTGAGACAGATGGTAGTAGACTTCAGGGCATCAAGGTAGACTATGGAAATGGACGGACATGGGATTGATGAAATTTAATGTCAAGAAACACCCCGAAGAACAGTGGCCATTGCTGGGATTGCATAAAGTCCACAGAACAAAGTGGCTGGAGTTAGGTCCAGAGCTGTCCTGGTGGGTTCAGGACGGGAGGCTCACAGAGACAGGGAGGTTTTGAGGGGCTTGGGTGTCAGGTTTAAAAAAATACAGAGAGAAGAGGCAGACCTTGGTGGACCCAATATCAATTTGGATAATCATAGAATAAAGGGTTTGGAGGGGGTAGATTTCTTAAAATGTTTATAGGATAGCTTTTTATATCAACATGTATGTGGTCCAACAAGGCACAGTGCAGTGTTGAACCCAATTCTGGCGAATGAAGCCATACAGGTGTTCGAGGTGGCAGTGAGAGCATTTTAGTGATAGCGACTATGACACCATATGTTTTAAGTTTGTTATGGAGAAGGAGAAAGATGGTCTGCAAAAAGAGTTTTGAATTGGATTAAGGCAAATTTTATTAAAATAAGATTGGAGAACAGCTACCTGAGGGTATATTTACAGCAGAACAGTGGGAGGCATTCAAAAAGTTCCTGGGAGAAGTACAGACCCGACGTGTTCCCTTTAAGGTGAAATGTAGGAGCAACAACTGTGCAGAAACCCTAATATCTAGGAATATGTGTCACAGGTACGAAGGCAGTAAAACATTGGAGACCCTACAGGAGTATAGGAAATGCAGAGGGATTCTCAAAAAAGCAATTAGGAGAGCAAAGTGGAGCAATGTAAAAACAATGGCAGGCAAGATGAGTGAGAATGTCAAAAAATTCTACAAGTATTTCAAGGAGAAGAGAATAACAGGGCCTATTAGGGGGCTATTAGGGATCAAGGGGGCAGTCTGTGCTTGAAGCTGGAGGAGATTGGTAGCATGTTAAATGAGTACTTCACATCTGTCTTTTCTTGGGAGAAGGAGAATTTGAGAAGATGTGAAGTTATTGAGGAGACTGATATAAGAAATGGGGAGTTGTTGGAGGTTTTGGCAGATTTAAAAGTGAACAGATGCCCAGCTGTGGATGAGTTTTATCCCAGGCTGTTGTGGGAGATGAGGGAAGAAATTACGGGGGTCCTGACCCAAATTTTAAAACCATCTGTGGCTGCGTGGGAGGTGCTAGAGAACCAGAGGACAGCTACAGAACTTCCAGTTAATATGGTTCCACTATACAAGAAGGGTGGTAAAGGTAGACCTGGGAACTATAGACCAGTGAGTTTCATGTCAGTGGCAGGGAATCTATTAGAGAAAATAGTAAAGGAAAAAAATTATCTCTGTTTAGAGAGGCAAGGTTTTATCAGGGACAGTCAATGTGCTTTTGTCAGAGAGAGATCACACTTAACAAATCTGATGGAATTTTTCAAGGAGGTGACCAAGTCACTGACTGAGGGTACAGCAGTTGATGTAGTTTAGATGGATTTCAGCAAGACCTTTGAGAAGGTCCCACATAGAAAACTATTAAAGGTCAAAGGGCAAGGGATTCAGGGTAACTTGGCAAGATGGATCTAAAATTGAATTAGCAACAGGAGATAGAGGGTTGTGGTAGAAGGCTGTGTGACTGGAGTCCAGTCTGCAGTGACATAGCTTAGGGATTTGTCATGAGTCACTAATTACTTGTGGTATTCATAAATGATGTAGATGAGAATGTGGGGTTGATGATAAGTAAGTTTCTGGATGACGCAAAGATTGGCCGGGTGGTTGACATTGAGGAGGAAGATATCAGACTACAGGAGGAAATAACTGGATAGATCAGATGGGCAGACCAATGGCAGGTGGAATTTAACCCAGATAATGAGCATTGACATATTTTGGAAGAATGAATGAGACAAGGGAGTACTCGATGAATGGCAAGACACCACGAAGCTCAGAGGAACAGAGGGATCTTGGGGTACTGGTCCACAGACCCCTTAAGGTGACAAGACAGGTTATTAGGAAAATTAAGAAGACATTTAGGATGCTTGCCTTTATCAACTGTGGCATAGATTATAACAGCAGGAAAGTCACGTTGGAGCTGAACAGTACAATGGTTAGGCTACAGCTGGAGTACTATGTACAAAATATGAGAAGGAAGAGATTGCACTGGAGGGGTGCAAAGGAGATTCACCAGGATGTTGCCTGGGATGGAGCATTTCAGCTATGAACAGAGGCTGAACAACCTCAGGTTATTTCCTTTAAAGCAGAGAAGGCTGATGGGGGACCTGATAGAGGTGTATAAGATTATGAGGGGCATGGATAGGGTGAATAGAAAGCAGCCATTCCTCTTAGTTGAAGGGGGCATACAAGGGGACATAACTTTAAAGTGAAAGGCAGGAAGTTTAGGAGAGATTTGAGGTAAAACATTTTCATCCAGAGGGGATCTGGATTGTATTGCCTGGGAGGGTAGTTGAGGCAGGTAACCTCACAACCTTTAAAAATTACTTGGATGAACACCTGAAATGTCATAACATTCAAGACTGTGGGGAAGCAGCACTGTTGTAGTAGTAGTACGTTTTTGGAGGTATAGACTTGATGGGCTGAAGGGCTTTTTCTGTACTGTTTGATGCTATGACCCCTAAACAGGAAAAAGCAGTCAGGAAGGCGGAACTTACCAACTCTACTCATCATACTCAAGGCCAAACAGGCTGACACACATCCCCTACATGCAACCCCCAAAAGCGCTGCCCTCCAACCAAACCTCCTTCCTGATGATCTCTTCCACCAGTCTAAACTTGGTGTGCAGCCATAAAGGAGTCCTCAAAATACCATGAATTGACTTCTGAAGGGCCTGCGTTAGGTTGGGGTTACACTGGTGAGGCTGTCCCTTCTAACGCTCAAGGACCCTAATACATTGTTACTAGATCAGGCCGGCATCCAGAAAGGGCATCCAAAGAATTTTACAGGCTTCCTACCAGTAAACCTGTTGGCAGAGGATTGTAATGTTCTGCTCTACGATTTTAACTATGGGGCAAAGGTCTCAGAGAAACTAATATGCCTCACTGTCAGAGTGAGATAAATTCAAAAGGCAACGTTATTAGTAAATTTTTTTCTATGTGTTCTGATGTCAGTCCTGTTTCCTTACGCTGCTAGACCCAGCACCTTTTATTTTAGACAAGAAAAAAGTACAGGCAGTGCAATATGGTTCCTCAAGGTTAAAAAATAGAATATCCAAAAATTCAGAATAAATATATTGCAGTGAAGTGACGAGAACTATTATTAGTTTCCAGATGTCATTGGTTCACTAAGAGATCTGATTGAAATGCAAGTAGTGAACCTCCAAGCTCTGTATGATTAAAAATAAAAATAAAAGGAGAGTATAAGAAAATAAGGAAATAAGAGATGTGCTTGAGAGCCCGATAAGGAAAATGAACAGGACGCACAGCAGAAAGGAAATTCACAATGAGAAAAGTAATCGAGTATTTTAATGGAGTGGTAATTGCTAGATCGGATTTCCAGAACAAGGAAGGATTGCTAATTTATGGATGATGTTCAGGAATAATGAAGATATTTAGGAAGTACTATGCAATAATCATTGTTAATATAGAGAGTATATAATAGGAATATATAACATGCTTGTGCAATCAGCAACGTTATGATGGATAAAGGAGCAATTTTAGATCATTTTTTAAATAACAAACCTGTTTAGAAATATTATTACACACCTCTGAACCCAGGCCTCCTGGCTCAGAGGCAGGAACACCATCATTGTGCCACAAGAGCCCCTCAATGTACATTAGTCTTGTAAGTACTTTGAATCATGTTGTGAGATTTTTCCAGCACATGTGGTACTTAAACCTGACTCAAAAGCAGGACACTACCACTGTGCCAAAACAGCCCTACACTACTGCACACGGTATTCCTAGGTAGTTTCTCATCCAAGTGCTAACCAGGCCTGAACCCAAGATTAGCTTCTGAGATCTGATGAGACTGGGGTGTTTGCAGACTATTATGGTCGTAGGTGAATAAATTATTTATGCCAAGCTACAACAACAACCTGTATTTATATAGAACTGCTAACACAGTGAAACATTCCCAGGTATTTCACAGGAGTGTTATAAAACAAAAACTGATACTAAGTTATGCATAAGGAGCTATATTAGGGCAGATAGCCAGAAACTTGACCAAGAGGTAGGCTTTAAGGAGCATATTAAAGGACAAGAGTGAGGTACTGGGACAGAGCAGTTTAAGGAAGAAATTTCAGAGCCAAGGTTCTTGGCATTTGAACACACAGAGACTAGGGTGGAGCAACTAAAATCCTGAATGCTCAAGAGTCAGAATTAGAACAAATATTTGGAGGGATGAAGAGCTGGAGGAGTTTACAGAGATACTAATGGGTGAAACTGCAGAGGGACTTTAAAACAAGGGGGAGAACTTTAAAATTAAGACTCCTTCAGAGGAGAATCCAAAAGTGGAGGCATGGATTCAGAATAAGGGGTCAGATAAGCAGAATTTTTTTTCTCTTAGATGGTTGCAAATTTTTGGAATTCTCTACCCCAGAGAGTAGTAGAGGTGGGGTCATTCAGGGCTGAGCTAGACAGGTTTCCAATCTACAAGGAAATCAAGGCGACAGGCAGGGACGTACATTTAAGGCAGAACTGCGATTCTGAATCAGAACAGAAATTTTAGGGGAAACTCAGCCGGTCTGGCAGCATCTGTGGAGAGAAAGTAGGGTTAATGTTTTGGATCCAGTGTTTCTTTCAACAGATGCTGCCAGACCTCCTGAGTTTCTCCAGCAATTTCTAGATTTAAGAAAACAATTTGAACCTTATTGAATGGGGCTAGCTTCAAAGAGCTGAATGGCCAATCGTCCTCATTTTCCCATGTTGTTCTTATTGGGTGCTGTTTAACCAGGAGCCAATGTGTGTCAGCAAATGCATGGTTAATAGACGAGGGGATATCGTGTGAATGAGGACAGGGGCAGCAGGGTTTTTTGAATAATCTCAAACTTACAAACACTAAAACACAGGAAGTAACCAGGGTTGTACTGGACTAACTACATTTAGACACTACAGAGGTATGAATGAGGGTTTTTAGCAGCTGGTGAACTGAGTCAGGGAAGAACTCAGGCGATGTTATGGAGGTGGAAATAGGAGGATTTAATCATAGGCTCAATACATGGTTGAAAACTTATCCGGAGTCAAATATGATATCAGGGCTGCAAACCATCTGGTTGAGCCTCAGACATTTACCAGGAAGTCAGTGACTTTAGAATGGAGTGTGGACACTATGGGGCAAAAATCAATGGCTTCCTAATATTTAGCTGGAGGAAGAGGGAAGATATAGCATGTTGTTCGGGAAATAAGGGATGAAACTGGAGAGTGGTTTATGCAGAACCTAACTTTAAATAAAGAATGAATTTATCTGGACTCTTACAGGATAGTTGGTTTAATATCTGATGTAGGTAAATTTAAGGGCTTTCAAGAATGTAATTACTACATATCAAAATTAAATCAGCTAGGAGTAGCAGTCCAAATCTCAAAGGGACAATCATGGCTCACAAATGTCTGCATTATTCAAGGAAGTGCCAGACATGGCAAATAAGGAAGTGCAATGGGTGCAATGGATGTGGATTTTCAGAAAATTTTTGAGAGGGTATCAGGGAAGATTAAGGAGCATTGGATTTAGAAAGGCAACAATAAATGGGATAAAGAAAATTTTCAGAAAGGAGAAATTACAGACTGGAGATCAGGACAACTTTTCAGAATGGTTGATAGCAAGCGGTAGTGTCCTTAGAGTTCCACCTTGCCATTACTTCCATTCACTTTGTCAATCAAAGGGACATAATGCCCAAGGGAGAGCTGTTGGAGTTTCAGATCACAGTAAACTAGAAGATTTAGTTATTTCTTCTGAAGACCATAGAAGCTGCAAAGGGAAATTAGGGAAAATGGGTCAACGGGACAAGTGGCAGATCCTACAATCTTTCTGACAAAACCTCACACCCCACCCCTAACAAGCCTTGGGCAGGAAGGAAGGAAGATGATCTTCCACAACACCTCCCACCACCACTCCCTGACTCCAACTCCAGGAGCTAACTGAGATCCTGAAGCATTAAATTAAGGATGATAAGGGGCCTCAAGTTTTTCGTCCAAAGAACTAGTCACCCTACCATACATTACAGACATATCTGAGAAGACCACCAGATTACTGCATCCCCTAAGAATCATGGTAGCCCACAAACCAACAGCACACTACAACAACTACTGATTAGAATAAAAGATCCGACAACGACAACTAACAGTACCAACATTATTTACAAGATACTATGCAAAGACTGCCAAAAACATTGCATAGAGGAAACCGGAAGGAAACTAGCCATCAGGCTTCACAAACACCAACTAGCTACCAAGAGATGTGACCAACTATCCCTCATTTCAATACACATGGACAAAGAGGGACACCAATTCGATTGGGACAACACAGCCATCCCAGGTCAAGCCAACCAAAAACATGCATGAGAATTCCTGGAGGCTTGGCACTCAAACCGGAACTCCATTAACAAACATGTAGAGCCGGACCCCATATACCAACCACTAAGAAACAAATCCAGAAGTGATGCCACCCACCCCAGCAAACAGAGACACATAAATAACAAGCGGGACAGAACACCGACGCTTCACTGAAGGTGCACTGATGTTGCTACCTAGTGTGGTGATGCAAAGTTACCAGCTTGGTGAGCAAGTCAACAACAGCAAGGGGCCTCAAGCCAAAAGCAGCAGGTGAGAATCTCACCATGTAGGCAACCCACACAGCAGAGCTTGTCAGGTTTCTTCAATACTGCACTGAGGTTTCATCCCAGATTTCAGGTAGCACTTGAATCTACAACTTTCTAACTAAAAGATGAGATTGCTGAGTTATGGACAGGTAATTGCAATAAGAAGTGAACACACTGCCAACATAAGACCTTCTTTCAAATGGAAAGGATTAGATTAATTCTATCCCCTGTCAATAATCTGATGGATTGTTATTTCTCTGTGGCAGCAATGGAAATTTAACAATCAGGAGAATATTGTGTCAAAGTGAATGAATCAGAGTGGTTTACCATTGGTTTCTTCAGAGACTGCTTCTTCAGGAGGCAGCAAAGCTTCCATATGGTAGATATTTCTACCTTGTTCTGCCATCACCAGCTTCCAGAGGTACTCTAGTGCTCCAGGGCCTTTGTTTATGACTTGTATCCTAAAGACAAGATATAACACTTTGAATACTTTTATTTGTAACAGGATATATCAGATAGCCATGCTGTTACAAGTACATCTTTATTCCAGCTTCTTCGAGGAACATGTTTACAATATACAGATGTCCTGCCTATAGAAGATCATACATAAGGCTATCTTGTGGTATTGTGGTACTGGACTAGGAGGCCAAGGTTCAAGTTCCACCTGCTCCAAAGGTGTGTATTAACATCTCTGAACAGGTTGATTAGAAAAATAGGTTAAATAGAAATAAATAAATAAATATAATATACAATCATACATGTCACATGGATGGATAGCTGCATGAACATGATGTATTCTCGAGGAAACAGATATCCTGAGCAGAAATGTAATTATTCTCAAATGGTAACTGCACTGGACAAACCCTTGCATCAGGATACTGAACACTCGCCTGAAAAAGGTTCTCTACTCCCAGATCACAGCTGGCCATCAGGGAGGGCATGGGAAAGGTTTCAAAGATACCATGAAAGCCTACTTGAATATGGACTGGTTTTGACTTCAACAGCTGGGAAGAGTGAAAACTTGGCTGTCAATAATGGCAAGCCTTGCTTCACCCAGACCTAACTGGCTTTGAAGAAGAGTGGACAAAGAAGGACAAAGATGTGAGAGTGAGGAGTTTAAACATGAATACAACCAATATTGACTGCAGAGTTAGCAACAGACTGACTTACGATGTGATATGTGAGTTTTGTTTTAACAATATTTCTCACTCAATTTAATTTTATTCATTTCTCCACCTCCTTTACTTACACCAACTTCACCTCTTTCTTTCCTAGCTCTTACAGCCCTCTTCCTCACATCCTTTCTTTCTTTCTCTCTCTTTAGTATCCTTATATTGCCAAGTGACATCCTCACTCTGAGGGACTGTCAAGAGAAAGGGGCACCCATCTCATCACAATAACGTAATGGTTATCCTGGAGAGGAAACAGGGGCAAATAGCAAAGATAATTCCAGGTATCAGGAAGATTGGAGAAAAGATTCTAAAAGGTGACTTCTTGCTTAAGGAAGGAACACTGAAAAAAAAAACTAGAATTATACAGCATCTGTTTCAATATAGAGGCACGGGGGTGGGGATGGGGTTGTGATGGTTTCCCAAAGCAAAGCACTTTATAGCGAATTGGGAACTTTCTGAAGTTGTAACACAGGAATGTGCAAACAAATTGCTGCACAGCAGCAAACAAACAGCAATGTTACAATGGCCACATGGTCTTTTAGTAATATTGGTTGAAGGATAAAAATTAGGCAGAGAAAAGCTTTGGGGATGAAATCCCTTACTTACTATCTGACAAACCTTCAAATAATGGAAACAGTTCCATCATCTTAACATGGTTGGATTCATATTTTATCTGAAGTTCTTCTGAATTGCAAATCAAGTTCTGGATTTTTTACTTGACCAGCAAATAGCACTGTTTATTTCAGTCATGGATGCAGCTGTGTTTGATTGTTCAAAAAGATAGCCAATTTTATAATGAGTTTTCCAAGGGCCATCCAATAATAGTGTTGATGTTGATCCAGCTAGATTGCTCCACACACTATCAACACTGCCACACAAATAAAAACAAGGAATGTAATTCCAGTAGCCAGCTAGAAAGACACAAAATACCCAGTAACAGGGGAGAAAAACAGAAAAGAGCAGATGATGCAGAAAAAGAGGGGATACAGACAGGAAGAGGCAAAGGACCAGGACAATAGGAGCAGAAAGTAAATGGAATAGTGAGAAACAAATCAGGGAGCAGGAAACTTGAATCTGGAGGCTGGTGGGATGGGGTTGGAGACCAGAATGGACAAAAAGAGGAATAGAATGAGAAGCAGGTTAGTACCATCGTTTGCAACAAGCTACAGTGCCATTGACTGTTGACCGGATGGCCATTGCTGTCTTCAAACCTCAATAGTAACTAAGATTTCACACCTTGTATACAGATACAGACAACAATTGAAGTTTTCCAGGGTGCAAAGGAAATTTGTTTAATCGGTAAATGATTGCCTTTGGTGGTCTTCAAAATATCATAGGAAAAGCTTTCTAAATTGGAAAGCACAGAGTGAAAAGGAAATAGATTTTGATGACACAACACTTGCAACACTGCATGTGACATTCTCCTCTTTGGAGTGTGAGAGGAGAATAATTGGATGAGTTAGCCTGGGGAAAAACTTGCCCTTTCTCGTTGCCTCAGCAATTAAGTTCCAGGGTCAGAAGGTCTGTTGGTATCCTGCTTCCTTATCGGGTGAGAAAAGTCACTCGTTTCCTAACTGAGAAACCATGGTGACCTGCCTGTCATGTTAAGGGTCAGGGTCTTCAATAGCCCCAATCGGGGGCAATCTGAGATATGGATGGGGGTCAAGAAGATGGCCTTAGAAAGCCACATTCCTCCTCTTGCCTCTGAACTCCTTGATTCCCCTTTCTCCATGACCCTACCGCACAACATCAGAATTAAAGCACTTCCCCTCTCACAGCTGGATCCCTCAAGAAGTAAGGCTGGGCCAATGGATTTTAGGGCCCAGAAAATACGCCTGGCCTGTAATTGACTAGCAGCAGTACTGAGTTGATAGGTGGGTGATTGGACAAGTTTTCTCAGTGACATGTTAGTTGCCAACTAATGCTAACCCCACCACCACCACCAACACAGGCAAAAAAAAGGGAAAATTCTGCCCATTGTTTAGTTCTCATCTCCACATTACTGAAAGGATGTAGATAATTAAAAAGATGTCTGCAAGATTGATACAAGATCTGAGAGGGCTTTTAACTATCAAGAGATACCAAAAAGGCTGGGGATATTGTCTTTAGAAAAGGGAATGCTGAGTGGTGACCTGATAAAAGTATTTAAAATTATGAAGGAATTTGATAAGGTAGATTAGAGCTGCTTCCACTATACTAAAGGCCATGAATACATGCTTTCCACAAATAAATCTGAAATGAATTTCAGGAGAAATATCTTGGACAGTGGTGAGAAAATGAAACCTTCCGCCATGTAGAGCAGTTGAGGTACAGAACGTAGATGCATTTAAAAATGAAGCTGGATAAATGCATGAGAAGAGAGATAGAAGGATATGCTGATGGGGTTAGAGAAGTGAGCTGGAATTCGGTGCACGTACAGAACAAACAAAGAAATGATTTACAGATTGACCATGAGCTCACTAAATGACAGACGCAGTTATCGAGTAATTACATCAGCCTTTCTTCTCAAAGAAGTAACATGTGGAAGTGTATTCATGCAGACAGTATTGATAATTTCAACAGAATTAAATGAATTTCTAGAAGGAGAAAGGATTAAAAATACACATCCTATTTAAGGAAAAGTAACACTTCTTGTCTGTCTCTGGAACATGACAAGCAGGATATTGAAATATTTCTTCAATGTTCTGGAATATTGTGGTGTAAAAAAGACACTCATGGTGACTATAATCTTTTAGACATCCGGCTTGTCATCTTGAACATGACAAGCAGGATATCTAAAAGATCAAAATGACCATGAGTGTGTTTTTTTAATCCTTTCTCCCTCTAGAAATTCATTTAATTCTGTTGAAATTATCAATGCTGTCTGCATGAATATACTTCCACATGTTACTTCTGTGAGAAGAAAGGCTGATGTAATTACTTGATAACTGCATTTGTCACTTAGTGAGCTCATGGTCAATCTGTAAATCATTTCTTTGTTTGTACCGTACATGCATCGAATTCCAGCTCAATTTCCAGCTAATTTCTTCAATGTTTGCACTGAATCAGCACTCACACTATTTGGGCCAGAAACACTCTCCAAATGTCTGCAACCCTCTGCGAAAGCAAACTCACTTGAGATCTAACCTAGTTCAATGTTCAATCATCTTATACTCACGTCCTGCCTGACCTATCTAATTGAAATTGTGATGGTTGCTCTGGATTTTGCTGATGCTTGACAATCCTTCAATGGCTATGACAGAACTGGGATCAGACTTCTCATCCATCACAGAAATCAATGCAGACAATAACTCTGTAGGGTGTTTACCAAGTGAGAAGTCCCAACTGTAGCTTTTCTCAAAAATGTGATAGCAAGCCATTGGGCAACAGAAGGAAGATCAATCAAACGTCACGGAAAACTTTTCACAGGAGCAGACATTCAGACACACTGATTTAAAAGTCAAGCATAATGAATCATTCTCAGACTCACCCATGTAGATTAGCAAGGATATGTTCTGAGCATACAAGTATAGGAGTGATCTGTTAACAATGCTGATTAGCTGAGAGGCAGCACAGTGTTAGCCAGCAGTATAACCTCGTCATACTGCTCTCCCAAAGTTTGAGACTCCAGCATCCCCTTACTTTCCAGTTGTACTGTCTCTCTTTCCTGAGCTAAGCTTGAATGATCAACAGATCATGTTGAAAACATAAATGTGTTTAGGGTTTTGAAGCAAGCTAAAGGTTTCCCATTCTTCAGAACCCTTATGAAAATATGAAAATCTTTTGGGAACTGAACACAGACAATGAAACTGAAATAAAACAATAGAATGCTAAATAACTGGAGATGATACAGCATTTAATGTCCTGAGTCAAGACCGTATAGTATTTCATTAAGGAAATAGGGACAGATAAAGGCTGCTGACTTATTGGGTGTCTGACAAAAAAATCTTGGCTACAATCATTCAAGTTTTAGTTATTCAGTGAGTATTTAATCAAGATTACAGCTATTGCTGTAAATCAGCATTATCGTTTTCAAATTACTGGTGCAAAATCACTGGCACATTCTATGAAACCAGAATGGAGATAGAATGTGTCACTGCATGCAATATCTGCACTTGAGTAATTAATTGTGACTGTATAATTCTTTTATTTTTCGGGACATCTTCAAGGCTAGCTCCAGATTTTCTAGTGAGGATGTTTGTGTCTATGGAGGCTGACCCAAATAAGAGCTGTTACACTGTTAATCAGTAAATCCTTCACAAAGTGTTCACCATTGAGACAACTTTGAAAATTTTCAGGTGCCACACTGG